ACAACCATCTGCTTTCTTCCACCAGCCACTCTTCTATCCAATTTGCTAACTTATCCCCCACACCTATAGAGATAATTTTTTACAAGCCTTTTATTTGGCACCTTGTCAATTGCTTTCTGAAAATCCAGATACATCAAATCTACACCCTTACCCTCATCTACATAAGCAATAATCTTTTCAAAGAATGTCAAAAGATCTGTAAGATTTTCCCTTAGTGAAATCATGTTAACTATCCAATAAAATTCTAAACATTGTTTGGTAGTGTGATCCAAAACTTCAAAAATCAAAGATTACAGGCATAATTGTATACATGTGTTTGGATTTGCATAAAGAAATGTATTATTTTAATACAGGGTTTATCTGGTAATGAATGGTACATGCAGCAAGCTTCAAGAGCTGTCAATCAAGCTGTGGGCAGAGTTATACGTCATAGGAAGGATTATGGTGCTGTATTATTGTGTGATAATCGGTTTGTATAACTTTCTGACTTTTTAGTTTTATAGAGAATAGTTTAACTTACTAGGCAGTATTAAATATGCTGTAAATAATTAAATAATGTCCTTATTAAATTTTGTTGTCTCTTTTGCAGTTTTTGTGTCCTAAGTTGAAAATCAAGGAACTTGTTTAAATATTCAAAATGTAATAAAATACTCAAAATATCAACGTTTTATAATACACAATTAACATTTTATTTAAAGCTGATCAACAGTCATAAAAGACATTCTACATGTTTCGTCATCGTTCACATCATCCTGTATTATTATATCTGCAAAAATTAGAATCAATAGTTTGACTGTGTGGATATGATTTTCATGTATAAGATTGTTAACAAATTTAAAATTCTACTCACAATAAATAAAGATAAATAGAAAAAAATTCAAGTGAATGTTGCTTTATAAAAACGTTTTCTCTGAACACACTTTAGCCATTTTTGGCTCAATACAATTTTTTCTACAAGAACAACAAATTAGCCAAGATGCACTTTTTAATATCCAGATTTGTATAATGTTAATTGATTGTAATGTTAAAGTTGTAATTTCAAGTGCAAAGCACTTCTTTAATTCTATGCTCATGGCTGGATCAAAATGCACGTCAAGACTTTTTACAAAGTTATATTCAAAATTTAATTAGACATAGTTTATAATTCAACTTTTTATGTTATCTAAAATTTAATTTCTTTATTTCAAGAGGAAATATTAAAAACTTTCAATATTCCCCTCTGTGTATCATGTGATGCATATGCATTCTGAATTCTCCCATTTAGGTTTTATATCTTCAGTCATATGGTTTTTGGAGTGTCCAACTAATTAGAAACAAATTATACATAATTACAAGCATGAATATAAAATTTGAATTTCCAACCTTCTTTATTTGCCGAGATATTTATATATTTGTCAAACCCACCAGAGAAGCCCCTCTCATCTGACCTGTGTTTAAAAACAGTTGTATATATCATCTGTTCATGGCTGATGGACACGTTTATCACCAATAGAAAGAGCAAATTCTCCTGTATATGAATCTTATTACAGTTGTTTCTTTTTAGCGAGCAAAAGTAAACAGTTGGCCTCAGTTTCTTTATCTGTAATTGTTGTAGTTCAACTCTGAGCAGCTAATGGAATTTTCTAACCCATTGTGCCCATAACTACTGTGCCAATAAAATGTTACATCAAATGTGCATGGACAGAACTCGAGACATCTTTCCTCTCTGTAACATACTAGTAGTATGTACAAATGGCACAAGCTCATTTTTATGACTAGTGAATTATATTTTTATTATGAACTAAATACACTAAAGTATCTTGTTTAGATCTGCTAATTTAAATACAAAAGAATATAAAAATCACAACTTCTTCCAGTTCAAAGTTCTATGCCTAATTTACTTGAAAAGATCTTGCACTCGCACATCAGTAATTCAATCAATTTTAACTCTAACACTTGTGAATCAACTTTTGTTCCTAAAAACATATTTATTTTGAGTTAATACTACAATATAATGATTACAATAAATAGTTAAATGATATAACGTTTTTAGATGCTATAAAAACTAGTCATTTACCTACCATCAAGTTCTTTTCAAAAGCAAGATTTTGAAGATGTGTAACAGAAAGACCAATGCTAAACTCAACTATAGTTTCAAAATAAAGTGTCAGTTTTTATAATAAGCACTACCCAATTTCCAGTTTTAAAATACAGCACGCAACAGTTTATTACAGTTCATTTATCCTTTGATTTGCCAGGCATGAGATATAGTGCAATGAAGTAGGTTGTACCGAAATTGACACCTTATGACTATGATTGGTTAAAAAATTTTCAATGGAGGTTGAGCATGCTCAGATAGCATTCTATGAAGAGAAAAAACTAGAAAAAGGTTTAAATACTAATTATAGATAGCAAATCAAATGCTAAAGTGCAAGGGAAAATTTTAGAATGTTGAAAGAAAATGTTTTACCCTTACTGTCTAAAACATATTTTGGATTGTTTTTGTTAAATGTTTCTTTAAACTTCATTAAATAAAACATTTTAGTAGAAGGAATTTAATGTTATAGTATTATTTTAAAAATATAATCTGTAGTACATGTTCAAATAAGTTATTTATAATTTTTTTAATTCACTGGTGCAATTTGCCCTCGGGGCAAGATAAAATGGAAGCAGTAGGTAAATAATTGTAATAAGTTTTCACAAATTGATTCCACCAACAAGGTAAGTATAAATTTGATTGAATAATTAGGTTAACCATTAAACAGGTAGTAATGCCATAAGAAATATGATCTTAATATATGATAGTGAAAAGCTGTAGTTGTAACATTTTGTATGTAAATATTAATTATCTCGTAATTGGTAGAGAAGGGAAGGGTAGTGGAACTTGCTTCAACCAAGGTTCATACAAGGTGTGGAAATTGTTGAAAAGCTTGATATTGCATTAATTTTACTGACTAACACGGAATATTTTTTTTTTCCTTCTTCAGTTGGTAAATATAGTTCTTCTCTCATTATAATTCAAGTTTTAAAGAACACTCTGATATCTTTATTATAAAAAGATTAAATTATAATGAAATCATATTATTTATATGAATACAGTTCACATATTTGCAAAGTAAATTATACTAATAATACATTATAGTTTAATGATATCAAATATTTGTTAAATATTTTGAATACAAAGTATATACAATGTTAAATATATATTCCCCACCCCCAAATCTACCATAGAAACTGAAAATAGTCTTTTTTTAAACATATTGACATTTAAATTTTTACGTGCTTTTGATTTACTATATACATCCACAATCGTTACTTATAATATTTGCTTGACAGAATAACACTAGCATTTAGTCATTACTCTTCTTCCTTGTCAACTACTTTTGTAAATAATCTGAATAATACTGAAGTTAGGAGTTTTGTCACTTCCAGAGCAGAAATACGAGCTAGTTATAATTTACTTTGTTGGTTAATGCATTACCTACTATGCTTTCATGTTAGTAATTTGAAATAGTAATTATTATTGAAAAACAAATTGGACTAAAAAAAAGCATTTTAATGAATATTATCCCACAAAATCATTTTCATTTTGTATTGATTGTAAGCAATCTCACTAAAGAGTTGTGCATAGTAAAAGTTTCAACAACAACTATTCTATTTTTCATGCATATTACATGTGACAATGTGTGTGTGTCTATTTGTATGAAAGTGGCTTAAAAAAATTATCACGAAATTTATAAATTTAAGAAATTTGGGAAACATTTTACTGAATTTTATTCAGATAATGTACTATAACTATATGAAGATGCATATGCCAGTTTTACATATTGTGTAATGGGTTCTGATTACCAAAGTTTGAACTATGCTTTAGTTTTTAATAATTGGTAATTAACTTTACTATTACAATTATTTCAGGTTTGCAGAAAAACGAATTAACTCCCAGCTTTCTCTTTGGGTGCGTGATCGAGTGAAAAGTTACACAACCTTTGGTCCAGCTTTAAGAGATTTATCAAAGTTTTTTAAAAACATGGATATTACAGTAATGCTTCTTTTCTTCATTCAGTTATTATTAAAATATGAAAAAAAGTTTTCCCCACTCATCATAAGCAACATTTCACAAAGTTATCTTTGCTTATATACCTGACAAAATTTAGTTACTGCATATAAATCAGAACTTTTCCTTTATTTTCCAAATACCTTGTAAATAAATAATTTTTTACTAGGTATTCCTCTAGGATGTAAATGCATTTTCCTTTTTATTAGTTAGGAAATATATAGTGTTTTGTGTTTTCTAAAGATGAGGCATTATTAGGCAATTTTAAATTTCAGTTTTTATTTTATAGAAATTAACATTACTCTACTGCAAACATTTTCCAGTTATTCTGATTTCAGAATAACATGGTAGATTTAAAACTAAATTTTACCTCTTTTTTTATTTTATTTTTTATAACGTTGATGTCAAATACCCTAAGAAGTTATTTGTCACTTTAATATAATCTAATATATTCTTGCCTGTTAAGAGGATATTAAGCTATTTGGCTACTAAACAAGGAGGAGGAGATGATGTGTGGTATTTAAAGGTAGATTACAATACCAGGTTAACCAGTCTGAGATACACTGGTATTTCTAATGTATTGAATGTAAAATATTTTTTGATTCATAATGTATAAAAATGTATAGTACATCAAAATCAAAGCCATTGCATGACAGCCTGATATTTTAAATACCTAATCCTTTTCTGTTGAACTGAGGGCCATGGAGTTCCAAGTGTGTAGTCCAAGTCATTTTACCCAAACATAACTCTTTCATCTCACATAAATAAAACTTTACATTAAAAATATTTTAATCCCATCAAAAAATAATGACACAGATTATTGTTTTAAATATAAAACTCAGTAATTGGACATTTTAATTTACAAGTTTATAATTGTGTCATGCATATGTGTTTGTACATCAGTAGTTATAAACAATTTTGACCTATGATTTTGTTTTGATATAAAACTAAATTTTAATAATGTTCAGGAAAACAGTCAATATAAGAGATCTTAATTCATTGTTATTAGTGCATTTTCCTATTTCACTCTGAATTTATTTACAATGTTCGATATTCTTATTATAATAAAACATTATCAATAAATTATTATTTTTATTTTTCTGTTTTAGGGATGATATAGTTACATGAGAAGTTTCATGCATTCATCAATATGTATAAAACTGCCTCAATATTTAATAGGTTTTGTGAACCTATTAATTATTTGTTGTTGTTTCGGGAAGTTTTTATTTTATTTGTTTTTCACTATTGGTATTTAGAATTTAGGGTTTGACTAATATTGAAATTACTGTTATTAAATATTTAAATTAATTTTGATCAACATATTCAGTCTTCAGTTAGTTTGGAAACTCAAGAAAACAAAACAGTATATGTAAAGAAGTATTATATGAATGGAAAATTTATTAAAGAAAATTTAAACTGTTAAGGTAGAAGGTGTACATATTTGTTTTTACAATTTTACTGATATTGCTATTAAACTTTACTAGTAACATATGAAAAGGAACAGAAGTAAAAACTCTTTGTATTTTACATATTATTTTTTAGATTGTTCTCTAATAAAAGAAAAATATAGATAAGAAAAATAAGACTTTTTACAGTTTAGCCATTCTTTTGTTCCACTTAGGTTGTATTATTATTAGTAAATCAGAAATTAATTATCATTATTCAGAAAGTGTAGGAGAGTGAGGATACCCGTAATATTCTTATTCTATTAAAAATTCCCTACTCCTACACCTGTAATGAATTGGACACTAAATTAGACTTATATTTGTTATTTCTTTATAATTACTATACAGCAATTAAAAAGAAAAGTGCTTTCACGTATTCATTTAGGGATTACACAAAACCCAAGTGGGAATATCAAAAGAATCAAGTGATAATTGTGTACAACCAGTCAATAATGTAGTTGATTCATCTTTTAATCCAATCCAAGATATAGCCAGAAATAAATTTTCTCAGTCTATAGCCAGGAATGAAACCAAAAGGTAAATCTTTTTTCTCATTTTAGGCCATTAGTATATTGATATAATAATAGCATAAATTGTTACATATGATGTTCTGTGTTTGTAGAGCCAAAAATTTGACCCATATTAACACTTTTTTTTTCATATCATTTGTAACTCATTCATTAATGAATTAATGGTACACTAAAGATGTCCACAGTTGAAGGTTCTTAAACTTGGTGTTGTTTTTTTTCTGTTTAAGTTACTTTTTTTGTAGTGTCCAAAAGTAAAATGGTTACATAAGAATGTTTCTGCAATTTATGAAGAAGAAATATACATCATGTGTCTGATCTTAATTATGCTCATAAACAGTTGTTTTCTTGGTGATATATGTTTTGCCTAAAATCTGCTATTTTATCAGTCAGGGTGGGAATCAGCGAACGGAAGTGAAAATTGTTTAACAGTTTGTTTTCAGTGAAAAACTGTTTAAAAACACTGTATACTGAACTGAAAATGAAGTATAATTTTGCACTCCAAATTAAACAATTTCAGTAATGAAATATTTAGTATCATATCCTTTTTTTGTAAATTATGGTTAAAGATAATTCATATTTACATTATCACAAGTATGTGTAATTGAACTTGTAAACATAACTCTACACATAACAAAATTTAAGCCTATGAAATGTCCTGCCTTTAATTTTTAAACATTGAAGTATAGTAGTTTGTAACTTAGTAATTGTTATGTATAGTAAGTTAATTCTTTTAAAAATTGCATTAAAACACTAAGTTTATCTGTAAAAACTTCAACCTCATAGTGATCCCATAAAAATTCTTCAAACTTATTTAATCCTATAATTTGAAAATGGTCCTATGTGTTTGTTTTTTTTATAAAAATGACCTATACAATGTACATTTAATGTGTTATTAGAAATGACAAAGTTAACTGTGTGAACTTGTTTGATTTTAATTTATTTTCTCACTTTTGAGTTGAGAAAACATAAATGTCACACAAAAACTTAAACAAGTACCATCAGTTTTGCAGTTAATCTCATTGTTTATTTCTGTGGTTCTCCGTTTATTTTAAATAGAAAATAGTGATTTCACCCAATTTTTGTGGACTTTTCTTTAAATCATTGCTGTGACAGACAAAACCTCAATATATTATAATGTGGACATCACTGATAGAGAATGGTATAAAAATAAGTTAGTAATTTCTGAGTTAAATTAATCTGGTGGAAGAGTTATTGCACCAGGTAGTAAGTTATAGAAGTTATTATAGGATTGACTAAATACAAATGCTCCAGAGAATATAATTTTATTATCTCTTATTTGCAAGGTATTTTCTGACTTCAACAGTGACAATTTTTTGCAGATTTTATATTGTTGAAGTGTTTAGAAAGAAATTTTTGGATAATTTTTTACTAATGGAAGGATATTGAAAATAGTATTGTGATAATTTTTGTATTTCTACTTTATTCACCATTAAGATTAATTATTTGTTTCTGCTATATAAACATGTTTTGATAATATTTTTATATATTGAGATTTTTAACTCCTTAAACTGAAGCCACCCAAAAATTTTGATTTATCCATTGGATGGTGACAGTGTCCGATAACATTTATGTCACTTTGACTGAAAACTAATTGAAACCATGTTATTATCCACAAAATTAAGAAAATGATAGTTTCATAAGGTATGGTGATAATTATTAGGAAATCATGAAAATAATTCCAGCAGAACATGCAAAACATTATGGGTTCAAATACTTAAGTTACATGTAATAATTGCAAAATATTTGATATCAAATATAAATTTCAATTTGTTTACAATTTCTCTTTTTTATTTTAACTAGTCATGAAGACGAGAATCCTTTTCAAGGATATTTATTACCATTGAAACCAAATGATCAAGGTGAGCTTTGTTTTCTCACTTAGATAAAGAAATATGTTGTATTTTGTTGACATTTAACATTAAACATTCCTAAATGAAATGAGTTTAACAACTTTTTTTAAAACTTGGGCACACCTTTGTGATTAAATTAGAATATATGTTATAAACAATTATAATTTTACTAGTCTAACATAATTTTTATTGGAAAATTGATTAATACTTTTGAAAGTTATTTGCAGTATTTAAAGAAAAAAGTATAATATATAAAATAAATACTTTTAACATTGTACATTAAGTAAAATTGACTTAAGCAAGAACATATCAAATGTTACTGCTTATTAGGCCAACATTTTTTTTAAATTTTGGGAACCCTCAATAGGACAAATGTTTATATATTTTTTTCTTAAGTATAAAATATTACCTTTCTAGAAAAAATAATAATTAAAAACAAAATGGTAAAGCTGAAATGATAGTTATTAAGAAACTGACCAAAGAGTTCATTCAGTATATTTTTTTGGTGATAGCAGTTCATCAGACAACTGGTAAAAGGAAAAGTGTATTTGATGCTTTAGAAGAATGTGATGCCAAGAATTTTAAAGACACTCAAAGTGTAATCTCATTTTCTTCTCTTGATACGGGTGTGAAGAATACAAATCAGGTAATAGCTGTCTTTTCTGCGTAATGAGGTTTTAGTATCAGAAACTTGTAGAATGAAAATAATCTATTTTATGTATCAGTGATAGAGAAAATAAATTATAAAGATATAAAAAAATGATAATTGACTAGATGAAAGTTCTTAATCCAAACATTTTTCATCATATCTATAAGCCATCATGATATTTAAAGATGTAAGTTGAATCTTTTAATTTTCAATACATTTTTGAAAGATTATAGAGCTTGAAGATAAAAGTTGTAATATAAGTTTGTTTTATTATAGTAAAATATAGAATTAGATGGCTTCTAAAGAATGTTATTGAAGTAGTAGTTTTTTGTTGTTGTTGTACACTTGTCATCTATGTTCCTCAGCTGTACTTTTAAAATTTGTTTTTAATTTGTTTTATTACAGCTGAGTGCTTCAGAGTCAAAAGATACAAAGAAGAATTGCAAAAGAAGAAAGATCAATATGCAATTACAAGGTATTGATGGTGAACCAAACTGTAAACCACACACTTCCGTAGGCGCTAACCCATTGAAAGTAGAAAACTCTCGAGAAATTTGGAAAAAACATCTAATCAAGGTAACCATTGAAGTATTCAGAACTTTCTTTCTATGTTTGAGATTCTTATAATAGCCTAATCGTTTTCTGTCTTTTTTTCTATAATAAATCCTGAAAGTTTTTTTTTAAATAGCATTTCAACTGCATGTTAATTTTTATTTTGTTAAAAAATTTATGTAATTCTGACTTTTCAATCTTACGCATGCAAATATTTCAGATTTTTCTGCTTTTACTTTTTTTGATATACGATGCTTGAACCAGTAGGAAGTGAATTTAATATTTTTTACCATGATCGATGAAAAAAAAAAACCTTGTTATTAAATATATTTAATTGATGAAAGATATCTATACACTTAACTTTCAAATTACTGGTTTGTTTTTACACTGTTCAGTACTGGTGGAATCTACATATATAAATTGCATCATAGTGAGTAATTTTTATGGGTTTTTTTATTAAAAAGTCAAAGCTGATTGAAAATAAATGAGTGAAATCACTCATTTCCTATAGTCTCTCAGTGGCAGTGGTAAGTTTATAGAATTATAACACAAAAATTTGGGTTCTGATACAATTACTTACATCTGCGTACAGTTACAGCTATTCTCGGTTTGACTGCTCTAGTATGAAAATTTGTGCTCACCACTAGCCTTGAAATACCCATCTAATTTCACATGGTTCAGCTGCATTTAAGCATGCAAATTAGTGACAGTTCTCCACCAATAGGAGTGTGACAAAACCTCCTATCGCAGCTGACTTCCTCTATGCAACTCAACTCAATCTTCAGTTCTCGATTTGGCACAAGTGTTAAGAGCTAGTGCTTTATTTCAAAAAAAATTTTTTTTTTTCATTTTGAAAATCTTCTGTTACTGATTTTTTCATTTCAAAATATTATTTATTATCCACTGTCGAGTTGGAATTCTTTATTTGATTGTGAATTTTATTTCTCACTCAATGACCGGTAGTCAGTCAATATTTATGAATTCACAATTTAATATTACGACTACAATGGTTACCGATGATACCATCATTCGATAGCCCATGACAAGAGCTGCAGGTGCAGTGTTATTGGCGGAGGAAGTATTGGCTGTAGTTTATCAGGAGATGGCTTCTTTCAGGTAGACCAAGGAATCTCTCAATCTACAAGCAATTCTGCTATTACCTGAGGACTTAGATCAAGAGATACGGTTTTGGGCAGCTCCCCCCCCCCTTCCTTTGCTGCGCAGGCACATTCTCAGATTGTTGAAGCACCTAGACCCCAATCTCCATTTTTAGACTTGATATCACAGGTATGCTGTTTTATTTTTGTCACCTGTGTCATTTGATCCCTTCTCTTCTTTATTAACTACAGCACCTAGTTCAGGGATTTTGATGTACTGCAGAGGCTTATGCACTTGCATATTATTCTTCAGAAAACCATTGGGTCACTTGAGTTTTGTCAGAAGGATTCTCCTTCCTTTTCCTCACACTTCCTGCCTTATCCCCTGTCCCATTTCCTTCCCCCCTCAAGAACCCGTTTCCCACCAGCCTCTCACAGAAGTGCTTCAAGAACTTTTCATCCAGGATGCTATTCAACAGGTTTTCATCAGAGAAGCTGTTCAGGTGGGTTGGATTATTGAAGTGGAAAAGTCCATTATCCACTCCACCCAATATTTTGTTTTTCTAGGGGTGTTTTTCAACTCACACCTTTGTTGAGCCCAGCCTTCTCCTCTTCATCTGCAAGCCATGGAGTTTTAATTCAGAGAGTGATACCAGCACCTTCTCTCCCTGTGAGAGAGGTTCTCTCTTTTGGGGACTGGGCATCACTAGAGGCTCTTATCCCTCTGGGCCATACCCACATGCATTCCTTGCAGTGGATACTACAAGATCAATGGCATCTCATCAGAGACCCTCTGGATTTACAGATATCCCTTCAGTCTGGCTTTCTCTGGTGGTTAAACAGGGTCAACACATCTACCTTTCATTTTCCCATTTTTGTCATGTGTTTTTCTCTCCAGTTATTTCCCGTTTATTTTGGTGTATGCATCTCCATTCTCCTCCTCGTTCCACTCAATTGCTGGACTGGAATTTAAATGTTGTTTTTATTGCCCTTTCCCTTTCTCCTTTCGAACTGCTATCCACATATTCCTTATATCACCTTTCTTTGAAAATGTACTTCCTTCTCCTTTTAGCTTGCAGACGTCACCAGTCGAAGTTGTTTGCCATCTTTGCTCTCCATATTTTTTACCACGAAACCTGTGTCTTTTTATAACCTGACCATTCCTTCCTTCTCAAAATGTCAGCTTCCCACAAAAAGGCAATTTTGCCTTCACTCCTATTTCCCTTCCTTCCATATTTATTCTCACTCTGATCCTGATTGTCTCCTGTGTCCAGTCCATGCATTACAGTGTTATGTGTCATGTACAGCACCTTTTTATGGCTGTCACTTCCTTTCTCCTAAATCTTAGTAATTGTTCTGTGTTTTGTCCCATCAGATCTGTCACCTCCCAGTGTCCTTGGCTGCTCCTTTCCATTGTTATTTGGAGGAGATTATCCAGGTTGGCATGTGGACCACTCCTCACACCTTTGTGTTGTGCTACTTGCATCATCTAGCAGTTTCCTGCTTAGCCAGATATTAATACAGGGGCCTACTTACATGTTATAGATCCTGCTCTGTGATGATTGTTGCCTGTCCAGATACACTGGTATTCAAAATCCACACAGTGAGATCTATAAGGTCACGTACACTATCTGTTGAGATGTGGTGTTCCACAAGACCACATGCAGGTTCTTCCTCATGGTATATTACATCATAAATATGTTTGTACTGGACCAAACACTCATGGACTAACATGAGTAAAGCAGAAGGAGATTGCTGCTCATCTTTAATATTCCTTAGATTGCAGGAATATGAAATGGTCCACTTTTCAAAATAGAGTTTCCTGGTTACCCATTGCACTTTCTCCATTGATGCGTTCCTTCAAACTCTCCAACATGTTTCTTCTCCCTCTTCTTCCAATAGAGTATGGGAGCCCTTACTACTTACCAGCTCCTAGCCACTGGGGTGGTGGATCATGTAAGAATCCTCCTGTGTGCACAATTCCACTCAGTTGAGAGTAGGGAAGTGGCATTCTGCCTGTTTAGAATGCATGGCTATCCTCCTGCTGTGGGTCTGATGTTTTTTTTCCAGATGTCAGTAGTTTGTACTGGATTTTTCCATCAATTTTGTAGTTTACCTATTCTACTGGGAATCCTCCCTCCTACCGCTGCCTCAATGTCGGTTTCTGGGCAACTGGTTTTGGTTGGAGCTGGAGCCAATGTAAGTCCTAACATGTGAGTGAACTGGGAACTTCCTCCTACAGCAGTCTAGATGTTACATCCCCAATGCCAATTGGTTTTGGACTGGAATGACCCTCCACGTTGCATTTCCAACTTCCTGACATTGTCCAGATGTACATTTCCAGGGCTGGATTTGCATACATGATGGTTTAGGTTCTCAGAATCGAGTCTCCTCTTTCCTGCTAGTTGAGGACTCTCCTCCTACCATGGACTGGTTGAGTTTCTCCCAATGCCACTGGTCTGGATTGGAGTTGACTTCCTGCTTACTGTCTGAAGCACTCTAGTCACATTACACACATTCCTCTTCTTTAGGGATTTGAAATTGTTACTTCGTTCCACCTTTTGATTGCGACATCACACCTGTTGGCTCCACATGGGCAAAGAGCAAGTGTTTCCTCTCCATAGAGGGGGCACACTCCATGGGTGCTCTTCAGATGCTTTTGAAGGGTGCTCATCTAGGTAACTTTATACCGGTCTCTCAACCTGTTCAGTGTGGGATTCTAGCTGTAACTGTGAGAAGAGGTAAGTAGTTGTATTGGAAATTAATATTTTACTAAACTGAAAATTTCCAATAGATACTTACCTCCAATCACACTTCCCACTCATTCTTCCCATTTACAGTGCTATTTTTCCTACATAATCTCGAAATAAAATAAAGAAATCCAACTCGATAGTGGATAATAAATAATACTTTGAAATGCAAAAATCAGTAACTGAAGATTTTCAGAATGCACTAAAGAAGAAAAAAAAAATGTTTGAAATAAAGCACTAGGACTTAACACTGTTGTGCCAAATCAAGAAGTGAAGATTGAGTTCAACTGCATAGAGGAATTCAGCTGCGATAGGAGGTTTTGTCACACTCCTATTGGTGGAGAACTGTCACTAATTTGCATGCTTAAATGCAGCTGAACCACGTAATATACACATGGAATTAGATGGGAGTGTCAAGGCTAGTGGTGAGTAAAAATTTGCAGACTAGAGGGCAGTAAAATCGAGAATAGCTCTAAGTGTAATTAGAGGTTGGTATCTATTGTAAATATATTTTTAGTGTAACAAAATCCTTGTGGTGAGCACAGTGCAGACAGCTAATTTTACAGCTTTAAGCTTAAAATGATCATTGTCTATGTGAAATACAAAGGAAACCCCAGCAATAGTTATTGGGATTAATTGCAATGTTGATATTATTTTTGTTTGACTCATGTTATTAGGTATCCAGTGACCAACATAACCATGGACCCACCAGCCACTTGGTGCATAAATAGTTTAGAAAAATGTTTTCAAAAAGCCAGTTAAGGTTCAAATAGTGTGATGATATTCATCATACAAAAGTTTACATTTTACTACCAGCATCACTTGATGAAGTCTTAAACAAATTAACTATTTGAAATCTTGGGAAAGAAGGTTTTACATTAAATACCAGATATTTACTTATGTTAAGCTATTTGTATGTGGACACTGAAAAATATATAATCAGCATAAATCTGAAGTGTGGTGGGTACTATCTATGAACTTACATTTTTGGACACTCACAGTTGTTTTTTCAGCCAGCTTCCTTCAAACTTGGTTCAAATTCATCCATTTATTATTATAATTAAATATAAATTAGTATCTTTAGATAAATTCTAATCTTTTTTGGTTTTCAACACTTTTTATATGGGGTCAGTCAATGTAACCGACTCTGTAATAATTAAGTTCCATACTATAACTTTTAATATGTTTTGTGTATCTTCACAAAATTTGGCAGCTTTCAGTAAAAATTACAAGTCTTTTGTACACAAACAATCAGATTATTTAATTATGTATTTTTACTAAATATTTGTCCATGAACATATGAAGTCAGAGTATTGCCTGCTCTGAATGCAAAGGGGTATTTGCGTTAAGATTAAAAATACTTTACTTCATCAGAAAATTTTCAGATTTCACGAATGTAAACTCTAAAACCTAAAATAAGTATCAAACGTTTTTCTTCAGTAAAACTTTATATTTTATCTGCTATTTTCTCTACCCTAATTCTATGTGAAATTGTTTGGTTTGAGTCAAATGAACCTTGTAACTGCCATAGAAAATACGAAGTAAATCTAAATTATGCTTTTTATTTATTTCTAGAATGACTGCAGATCATAACCTAAAATTACAATAGTATATCCTAAATGGCTTAAGGTTTATAACAGTTTACATTTGCTTATACTTAATTTTATTGTTTCATTTCCCTTTGAACCAGGTCTAACTAATGATTCCTGCACAAACTTTGTAAATCACTCACTGAATGCATAGCTCGTGTTACTGTATTGAATGATGTAATGCATGAGGTGCTTGCAAGTATACCCAGTGAAAATTTATCAACTATTCATTTTACTTTACATTGCTGGTTTATAGGAGAGTAAATACCAGATATGATATACAGAAATACTGAAGAACTGTAGATATGCATTTTGAAGGTTCTAGAGGTGATGCAAATACAATATACAAACTATATGATGGACAAAAGTATTTTTATTCTTCACATGAATATCACCTTACACTCTGACTTATCGGAGTCTGACGTACCTGGAGTACAAATGCTTTTGTAACTCATTTGGTTTTTGTTTACAAAAAAACTTGTATGTTTTACACATAATAAGTTCCAAATTATTGTCAATATTCCTTCTCCAGTACCAGGTCAGTACAATAGACCAAGCCTAGGGACATTTGGTCATGGGTTGCATTTAGTATTTTGATTTCCAGTTTTGTAAAATTTGGCATAATAAAGCAAAACTATCTGTTAAGGAAAATTAATTTTTATTTATTTGCTTTTTAAATGACTTTTGATCCGGCAACATGTGACCATTGTAGTATAAGTTAAAGTGGTTTGAAAAGTGTTTCTACCACTGATTGAGAAAGGGTTAAGATAATTTCAATGCTTTAAAATTGTGGGAGCTACACATTTTAGGGTTAACTTACCTTAACCATAATTATACGTGTTGACATTCTGAATACTAGATGAGGTAAAGCAATGAAACTGTTAGCAAATTAAAAATGAAAAATTCATTGTATGAAGTATTATTGATCATTTCTAAAACATAACATTAATTTCTAATAAATTATTTCACTGATTATGTAGTTTGTAAAGTGTGTAACCTAGTAACCTCAAGTTGTGGAAAAGGGTGAGGATAAAGTAGAGTAATTTTCCACAAGGTTTCCTCATAGCAGTTTGAGTTTTAAGTTAAAAAAAAAAAGGAAATGTCAAGTGGTTAGGAGGAAATACTACTAATAATAAGCAACTAGATTCCATGAATGTAATTTATTTCCATGACATTATTCATGTAAGGCTCATTTAATTGCTGAGGGCTAGCTCAAACTGGAGCATAAAACAAAATCTTCTGACCAAATTGTATATGAAAAGTTTTGGGAAAAATGAAAACCCATTTCTGTGGAAAACATTTATAATTATTATTGTTTTATGTATTCATATTGTTCTTTTAACGATAATAGAAGAACCAGATATTAAAAGGAAAAATTAACTAGTGCTTTTAAAAGGGAAAAGTTGAGAGATAAATAAAGATTGGAAAAGTGAAATTGAAGAAATCTCAAAATTTTCTTATTGTTAGACTTTCAGTATTAAAAATGTTATAATTTTTGTGCTACAATGAAAATATTGAATAAGATAAATATAATATAAAAAATATTGAAGTGACATGTTTGTAAACCTATACAAGATGATGTAACAAACGATTCGGTTTGAGCACACATTGTTTTATTGTCATATAAATTTTAGTGAGATAAAAATTACTTATAATATTAATTATCTCTTGTAGAGTTCTGTTTCTGATATTTTTGTTTCTGAGTATATGTATTTAAAAAATTGGTATCACCTTAAACAGAAACATTTCAACTTAATGGTTTAATACACATTTTGGAATTGATATGCATTTTGTTGTGATTAACACCAAATAATAGCAATAACATCCAATCAGGGTAAGTTAGGTACTTAAAGTGAAACTAAAAACTACCCTGGCCATCAATATAGCTAATTGAATATAATTTTCTAATGTTTCTACTTGTAAAGATTGGAATGCTTTGTTTTATCAGTTGAGTATCCTTACTTTTAATAATTATTTCATTAGCAATAAACCTATGCATCATCAAAATTATTATTTGTTGTTTATTGCTATGAAATTATGGACAGTTGTAATTTATATTTTCTTGTAAAAAGAAAACTAAAATTTACAATCAAATACCTAATTTTATACTTTTAGGAAAATCTTATTAACATATTATTACACCTTAGCTGTTTTTGTATATGTAGAAATCTGTGTCATTTATTTCCCTGTTTTGGTATTTTTTCATTGGTATACTAACTTTTTTCTATTTTAAAGTCCAATTTTGTTTATATATCAAATTGGGGACAGATTTGTAACATATATAAAATTCATGATTACTATATACACAAAAAATTGCTTACATATTCTCCATATAGCCTATAGATTGCTGTATGTACAGAAGCTTAGACTACTAGAGTTCTATTGTTATAAACATCCACAACTATTTCCAAATTTCAATATGGGGAGATATCATAGGATTCTACTGAGTAGAAATAAAAGGCTTGAAACATAAAATATTTCTCTTCTAAGCAAAAGTGGTCTTCATGAAATTATTGTTAACTGTTCTTAAGGTGCACATAAAAACTAGAATGAATCTTAATAAGATATTTATTAAACTTCCATATAATTGTAAAGTATCAAATATATGTTTTTATGTATTTTGTTTACATAGATAAAACTTTTGCTTGGGAAAACTCCAGACTATGCCAAGTTCTGTAGTGCTATTAAGGAGTATAAAAGTGTAAGAGATGTGAAACAGTTTGCTTCTGTCATGAAACAAGTATTTAGCAACGTTGCTGAAGGGAAGAAATTCATTGAAAGTAAGTAATTTGTGTCCCAAAATTCTGAAAATTATTACTGTAAGGTGTATTTAGTTTTTAAAATATAATACTTTAACAATATTAGTGGCTTGTATTGTTCTAATGCTGAATTATGATTGAGGTGGAAGTGACTGATTTACACATTTGCAGTACTTAATACATGTTGTAAGGTAGGCTTTAATAATTAAACTGTTCTTTGTTGCAATGAAATATTTCGTTTTTCTCTGAATCTTCTGTTACAATGATTGGTAAAAATTTAGGAAGAGATTAGTATTGAGGTTTTTTTTTTACTCTGTGGATCTGTTAAAGTGATATGTAGTATTAGAAAGAGATTAACTCTGAAATATTTTGTTTGTTCTGTGGAATTTTCTTTGAAAGACAATTTGTTTTTATCTTATTATAATTTTAATTATTACCCATGATCTGCAAAACACTTGTGTTAATTTTTATGCCCTTTGCTTGAACTTTCCATATGCTATTATTTTCATGCATGCCATTTAAGGTACGCTTTATTTCAGGCATTAGGTGTTATATCGATAAATTCTGGTCTATTTGAAAATATTTTATGCAGTCAGACAAACAAATTCAAGTACATGTAACTGTATTTAATAAAACTACATGTACATAACTTTATTTGCTAAAAATATACATAAAGAAAACAATAAAGTAATGGTATTTTATATATATTGCTAACCATGATGTCTGTCCAAGCATTTGTCTGTCTCCCGTTTATGGTGGATGCTTCCTGTGCTGCGTTTGAAAAGTTATGCACACAGGCAAAGCTCAACATTTACTTTTCAAATGATGGAAGAATGGGCATGAATAATGTTGATGCCAAATTTTATTTTACGAGCAGGATATTCTACACTAAATTGTTAGGAATTAATCACACTATCATTCACATTTTGAAATGTGACATAACTTTTAGAATAAAAATGTAGATTTACTGTGTGTTATTGTTGAGTGGCTCTTAGCATGACTGAAATGACTCTTCACAGTGGGTGGTATTATTAGCTCAGAGCTTTGGCTCCTAGTGAAACCAAGAGTGCAACACAATTAACATTTTTTCAAGTCCAGGAAATAATGTAAATTGATAAGATTAACTTAAACTTTTCTTGTCACTGGGGATGGGTACTTTTGTTTGTTTATAATAGTATACAGAGTATGAAACAATTATAAACATTAAGTGTGTGAAACAATACAGTAATGCACATAACAACAGTTTTAAAATACAAAATTCTTCCTAAAATTTTTTTATTCAGAATCAACTACCTGTTTTTGCTCACTCAAATTTTTAAATACAACGAATATGCTCCACAATGTCATAGTATCGTTGTCACCACGTGACAACTGGCTTCGATTTCAACTTGAGTTTTTAATTTGTAAAATCTTTCACACAAACAACACTTAACCCATGTGCAATTTCCTAAAAAAAATTAACATTACACTAAATACAATTCCTATGGGCTTACTTTAGGTCTAAAGTATGTATGCTCAGTTCATTGAAAACCATATGCTTATCACTTTGTGAACACACATTCAGAGGTTTCTGCATATTCAGCTAAGTTTACCTTCATTATATCTTTACATTTATGTTACTTTTTAATAATTTAGCTTTGATTCATTTCATAGACTGCTACACTCACCTTTAAGCTACTTTTTTTTTACTACAGGTTTTATTCTTCATTTTTGTGAGCTTCTTTGCTTCAACTTGTAAAATTGTGTCAACTGTTCTTCAATAACTTAAAGTAAATGAGGCTTAATTTGAAAGCATATATTAATTATTTTGGAAGATTTGTATAATATTTGTTATCAGTCTATGATAAATTTATTGGAAATGCTGCCTTTAATTTTTTAATTTTATTTTTAAAGTTTTTAAAGTCTACAGGAGTCCAAATCATTATTTTGTAGAATCTACATATTCAGTAACAGTGTTATAGAAGGCAGAAGTTAATAATTGAGAAAAGTATAACAAAAGAGTTTCTATGACATGTTGATCTGTTTAAAATGTTTATCTAATTTTGAATCAATTTTGCTTTTCACATAAACAATTTTCTCTTATTTCCAGTTACATCCCAGATTGTTTCAGCTAATGAAAGAATTGAGTTTCTGAAATTGTGTGAATCAAAGATGGAAAAAGCTTTACTTATTGGTCAGTTTTTGTTTTCCATTAATATACAAATGAATGGAAGTGCATGTTAGTCAAGGAAATTTCTAAAATTATTAATTCAAAGTTATTTTTATATTAGTAAATATGCTGAGCCCTAAACTATATTTTTATTATTTATTTATGAATCACCTAAGATTCAATTCAGAGTTAACTACAAAAATGTATTGAATTGGTCTATGTAAAAATGTATTTCACACCTTAAAAATTATGTCAGTATCGATATCTGGCACTCACTTCTGTAATATAATTGGTGTTAATCAAAGTAATTGTATTAAGCAGGGTAAATTAAGCATTTTCTTACTGATATTCTCTTACGTTTCACACTTGAGAGGTAATTTTACAATAAAAAAAAAGAGGATCTGTGTAATTTCAATGCACTTGATGATAACTGTGTAATTGGTTTGATGCAGATTGTATGATATCAAATATAAACCATACAATTAGTCTTTGAATTATATAGGTGCCAGATAAATTAATTTTCGTTTTCATGCAAAAGATAAAAGGGTCATGGCTGTAAGCATTTTTCTTTTTCATGTTCATAAACACCAAACAATGAAAAAATGAATTAGAGAAGGTCTTCTCCATGTAAAATCTAAACATTTTCTCAATCTTAAAGCATAGCTTATAACTGTAAAAGACAAAACATTCAGTGAGAATGCAACTCACCAGTGTTTTTTAATTATTTAGTTACAAATGTGAAATTGTGTTTTCACCATAAAATCTAGAAGAAAGCTTATGAAAGAGATTCTGAAGATATGCTTTGTAATTATATTTAAACCGTAGTTAATTTTATAAATTAGAACATTATGTACAGAATCATTTTATAAGATCTTTGAAATTCAGGACAATAATGAAACTTTTTATAAAGGATGAATACTAGTCATAAGAAGTGTAATGTCCACCTACTTTCAGATATATTATAAATGAGAAGAGAATAGGGATGAAGAAGGAAGGTTATTGAACAAAATTTTATAGAATATTGTTTGTTATCTCCATTGGAAGTTTCATTTTAGTACTGTTTATATTATTGTTAAAACTTGTTTTCAGTAACTTAGCAAAAAAATTCAAGTTCAACTGAAACAACAACAATAAAAAAAAGAGATATTAATGTTTTAGTAACTACAATCATGTTTGATGGGTTGTTTAGGCAGAGTATTCATAATGAATCTAAGTTTCAAATGGACAGCAACTACCTGTTGTAGAGACCTACAATTGAGGAGGACGATGTTTCGAAAGTCTTCCGCCTTTCGTCTGCAATGATCTTAGAACATGTATAGTTATATTAATTAAAGAAATAAAATTATATTTCACTGATTAAGTTTTGAATGGCTGTCTGTATGTCATAAATCTTTTACAATTTAGAAAATGAGGAAAGTCATAGATCTGAAGCAGATATATCTGAAGGTTCAAATGTCTCAACACCATACAGTCAACCTGATAAGGTTAGTTCTCAACCTCCACGAGCTTTGTCTTTCTTCTCAGGACTAGGTACTTTATTTCTTTCTTAATATTAAAAACAGTTTAGAATAGTTAGTAAAACTAGGTATGTAGCTTATGTCAACAAGACTGTAATCAACAACAATTAACCAATTTACTAAAGAAGCTAATTTATTTACTTTCAACACTTGAGCTGGTTTGAATTTTCCATCTTTCTTTTTTTCTCATCACATGTACAAAGCTGGCTTACCCCACAGTTAGCAGACATGTGCTACATCAAAGCTGAAACAGCAGCTCTCTCCATAACTTTTTGTAGGACTGGTTATGTGCATCCACAAATCAGGCCTGGAAATAACTTTTTATTTGTTCAGACATGTAAAATATCTTTTTTCTTCCTATGTGGTAAAAAGACTCATCCAGATAAGAAATTAAAAGAAAATTCTTCCTTTTCACAAGATAATTGAAAAATTATGCTTTTGAATAAAAATGTAAGGATTTTGTGCATTTAGTTTTTTCTTTATCTTAACACAAAATATTAACAAGGACAAAGAATACAATGTCCTATAATTATTACAATTTAACTGGTTTTCTAAATTATTGATGATTTAAAATATTTCTCTCACTTGGTTGAGGTGAATTTGGTGATAGAAACTTTAAATCTGTAGCTAGCTTATTATGTAATTCATTAAAATAAAATCTTCTCTTTCTAATAAATAATGTATTAGTAAATGTCAGTGAGAATTATTGACATTTTTTGAGAGAAAGTATATGATAGGAGGGCATGGCATGTGGGTTTTACTTTTTGATTTATATCTCTGTAAATCAAGATGATTGGAGGATATAAGATTATATCTCTGCAGTATCTATACTTCAAGTCTGTAGTTTGTATTAGAACTCAGAAAGTCAAACAGGAGTGGATAGAATATCTAAATTTCACAAATCTGAGCAAACAAGTGTCATGCAGTATAGAGAAGTGAAGATTAAGAATTTATTTAAATATATAATTTGAAGTAAAAATAAATAAATATATATATTAAAAGTTGATATATTAAATGCACTCTGATGCTCAGTTTATTGACATACGCTGATAATAGTTTTAATTACACACTTTTACCTAACTATATCCAGAGGGTTAATGGAAAAGAAATTAAAAATTAGCATTAATGTTTTATTTAATTTTTTTTTGTAATTATAAAATCATATATATTCTGTTGAGGTTAATTGCACTTTATATGAATCCTGCATTGTCCTTGGATCAACCTTCTCTCTCATTGATCATGTTTAATCTGATGATAATGATTATTACCTGATACTGCAATTTTCATTGTAAAAAGTGTCTGTGAAAGATGACAAGGTCAATTTTAGTCTCACTCCTTGACAGATTTTTCACTGTACACAAACTTTTCTCATGAAAACGTACATTGATTTCAAAGAATAGCTAGAAGCTTGTAAGCCTACATCCATTAGGAGAGATACCTAGAAAATTATCTTGAATAATTTTGTGGATGAGAACATTGCTCAGAATTTAGTTGTGGTGCAGTTTCAGAGCCTTTTGCTCCCTTAAATTTCTGCCATACTGTTTTTGTTGGTTCTATAGAGAACACTGAAGGCTCTCTTCTTCAAAATGTTGTCCCCTCTGTGTTCTTCAACTATCTCATTTTATGAATATATGTCTTTAAAAGAGCTTTTTTTACCTTTCAGACATGTGTATTCTTGTGGAGCATTGCACTGTTTTACGATTGACAATTTATAGTGAAACAAATATGCAAGTGATAAACTTGTTGCTTAAGGTGTCACTAATTTACATACAACAATAGCATACACCGATTGTTTAAATAAAGTGCAAATAACCTGTTGTATAGAATATTTTTGACAAAGTTGGTTTAAAAGTTCTGCAATAATAAAAAAATGAATGAATTGAGGTTTGTTTTTCAGGTTTCTTCTAACAGTGCTGCTAAAAATCAAATTATTGAAATGATATGAATCATTTACTTGTATCCTATTTGTTTGGTTGTAAATGTAATGGTAAAATGAATGTTTTGGATGGATTATAACTATTACCTGGAGTTTCAAAAGTGAAGATGTTCTTAAATGGTCAGTATTTAGAATACATAAGCATGAAAATCAAACAGCTTTGATTAAAATTTATTTTACAGAACACACTTGCTGCTGGTGTAAAGGAAAAGCCAGAGTTCCTGTAAGAACATCCTGTGGGAATGTTTACTGTTGCTTATGTTTAAAGCAGCTTGCAAAAGTGGGTATTTTTTGTTTATTTTGTAAATAGAATAATCCTTAGTTCAACTCTAACAAAAACATCAAAGTTTATATTAATGGAAATCAAGAAAATACAATACATGCTGTATGACAGGTGTAACTAAGGGTATTGAATATAACTGTTCACACAAAGATACAAATAATAATAATCTCTATAAAAATGGGTACTTTTAAGCACTGTTAAAGCTTCTACAGTTAAATAATTATTTTTTTATGACTAAGATACATGTGTGCTTTTTTTTTTTCTCTGAAGTAAATATCACTTCTTATAGGACAAATCGAATTGTGTTTTGTGCCAGAAACTCCTGAAGAAACACAAGTCTGATAGACTGTACTTCAGTTCAGCACCTATTTCCAAGAAAGTGGAGTTGCATTCTTAACATTGATTTATTAATAGATTATCATCTGCACGTATAAAAAGATTGTTGTACATATAGTTTTATGCCTGTTCTTGTTCCTGAATACACTGAAAAGTTGATCAGATATACAATGACAATATTAAGATCTTTGTTTGTGCTGTTTTCTTGTAAAATAAAATCGGGTTGATTTTATAATTTTAAATATTTTTGTAGCAATATTTTTTCTTGATGAAATTTTTAAACAAGTATGTTTAAGGGTAGGAAATTGCTAAGTGATGATCATTAATGCCAAAATACGATAAACTTAAAATGAAGAACAACTGGATTGAGGGCTTATAAAATGTAATTACTAAATGTGATACAAATATCAGACTTTATTTACTTATAATTTCCCAAGTACTGTACATGGAATCTTAACTCACTGTCTAACATAGGAAGACAGAGCTATAGATTTTAACCTTTACTTTAGTTATTACTTGCAAAGTATTGATTTCTTTAATAAATTGTAAAAAATTGCTTTTTTCATTGTAGTTTGCTCAAGTTACATGGACTCTTTAAGCATGAATTTAGATGTTATTTATTTATAACAGTTGAACACACACAGATTATGTATGAATGGTTTAATAATTTAAGGTTTGCTATAATGTATGCCAAGTTCAAATAGTAAGTGCATGTTTTTGTCTTTCATAATGTGTTAACGAGTATTAATTTTTATATGGAATATAAAGAAAAAAATTGTTTACATTCACACTGAATGTTGATTTATTAAAAAATTTGGTAATTGATATATATTTTCAGGTTATGTTTGTGTAACCTGTTCTATTAAGCTACTCATGTTTTTGATGGTACTATAAACTTGAACCTTTTATTTACTTTTAATGTTATTAAATATGACAAGTGTTATATAAAAGTAAAGAAGATTTACATGCAAATATCACGTGTTGGTAAAGTATATCAAAATTCTCCTGCAAGTACAGAAATGCTGTAAAAAATTTCACATTTATTGGGAACTTACAATGAAATAACTATTTCATTAGTGATGGTATTATCAAAGAATGTTTGCTGTAAGTCTGATCTAGAAGATTGAAATTTATTTTGTCACTCTTCACATTGGAGTTTTTAAATATAATAGTAGCACCCCTATATTGCTGCCAGGTCACATGTTAGTTTTATTGCACTCTAGAAGAGTAGAAACAAATCATTCACATGGTTAGGAATTTAAACCCAAGTAAAAAACTATTAAGTACTTTTGAATTTTTTCTAATTAAACATATCTTAAGATGAATTTTATTTTCTGATGGTAACTCAATTATATTTATGGTGAGACAAAATAACTTTTTGAGATTATAGTTTTAAATGCATGCACTAATTGGAAGTTAAGTGTTTTTTGAGAATGCCTTGGCATGAATGTTTAAGCTACATTTGAATAAGTACAGTTATTAGTGGTTATAATGTGCTGAAAGCTGAGTTTTTTAGCTTAATTAATAACATTCCTGCTATGTAAATGTTTATCTGGTACTGCCAGGCACAATATTAGTTGACAAAAATCTATGAGCCAAGTATGTAAAGTTCAATACTCTTCTATATTGTGTTCATGTACTGGAATTTACAGAACATTTTGGGTAGATTCAGGGTTATATTAGTTACTCAGGTGCTCCAACACTTGTATGGAGGAAGACAGTCGTCCTTTCTTCAGCAGAATTCATGAATAAGCAAGAAAGATAAATCTGCCCAATAATAATAATCTGTATTTAATTTTTACAGCTGCTGAAGAACAAAACAAATAACCTCTGTATAATAAAAATTGACAGTTATTAGAATATAAAAATTTTATTTCTTTATTCACACCATCTGTTATCTTTCTGTGCACTCAAAATCACTACTATGCTTAAACATAGGGAATGGAATTAACTTAAACATTTAATAACATGCCCCTGTAGTGTAGAGACTAAAAGTTGCTAAAAATACCCATTTATTTCTTCAAAAAAATCACAATCGTTGAATCCCTTGGAAAAGGTTTTATTTTTAAGTGGTACTTAGTTTTTGCATAACAGAACTTTTATAAAATTTAATTACTTTGTTCCAACAAAAACATGTAATATAACTCTCAAAAAATGATAAGAATAAAGCTTCAAAACTGGTGAAAGAAACTGAAATGTGTCAAGCTGTTTATGGTTAAAATCAAATACACAAACTGCAATTTTTGTCAGTATTCATATATATATAACAAATAACCACGTTACAATTTAAAATAAAATAATGCTAGACACTTGTAGGTTTCCTGTTGTCAGTGCCTCTTCTTTCCCAAATCTACAAAAAAAACATGAAAGTTTTAAGTTATTCTATAAAATCAAAATATTAAAGTTTCATAAATTATTTAAGCCATATAAACTGAAGTAAAACTGTATTGTAAAGGTAATTCACGTTTTCATTTTTTGTATGATCACAGGCACAAGCTGTGTTGTGCAAGAAACTCCATAATGTGACCTGCAACCACAGTATTCACACAGGTTATTAAGCTAAATAAAATTTATTCTTGTTGGTAACACAATTCTGTAAACATTAGATCACAAAGAAATTTGCCTTTTCATGTTTACCTTAAAAAACAACAACCCTTACATGTCTTAATGATAATCATGTTTAGGTAAGGAAAAGTTTCAAAACTACTGGGCTTATTCTGCAATTACTAAAATTATCAAAAAACATGGTTTATGCTCTGTGGTATAAAAATTTAAACTTACTATCTGATTAACTCTCTTGCCACAACCTTTGAGAGTTACATTCAAAATTTGATTAAACTACTTTATTATCATTGTATACAAAGAAACTTAACATCAAAACCACATTTTAAGTTCTTAATTTTATAAGGAAATATTTAAACTAATCTTCAGTTTACCCTAGTATGAGAATTGTGACATTTGGTCTCTAGGTCTTTCCCTTCTATAATTTATTTAAAGTTACTCATTATAATATAGATATTACTAAGACAAAGAATATTTTTTATGGTCTACATGTTTATTTTTTTTACAGAGCCATAAAGTAGAAAATCAGACCCACTTGCCATGTCTACCTGCCACATCCTCTTTCACAAATTGCTAACAGTTCTATCTGATATTTTATATTACAACCACCAGAAAGCCACAGTTCTAATCTAACAAATGACTTGTTGTTATAAAAAGTTTAAAGAGTATTGTCTATTTTGCCTCCAGTTTGACATTTTTTTTTCTTCTGGTATTCACACTGATAAGCTTAGCTAAATTTTTAAAGGCTTATCATATACTCAGAAAGCCAGATAATTTATCATAGTTATAAGGCATTGTTTACTTTGTATTTGTTACTATTCTGCATTTTTAGGTGCATCATTTAATTGAATAATTATTTAATGTACTAGCACCATTAGTATAAAAAGAAGGCTTAACTTTCATTGACAGCAAAAAACAAGACGGCACAAGTAAGTGCCATATTTCTTGTTTTTCAAGTATATTCTTTATTTATTATTATAAAAAATAATGAGGAAGAAATTCTTCACTAAGTATGCTCACAAGCAGCTTGTGTTATGCAATTCAATATGGTAACTAGAGCTACACATTCACCAAATAATTTATAACTTGTGTAGTAGGATTATTACTTAAATATGGGTCAAAGGATAATAAAATTTAAGTATAAACAAATATATATACTGTTACCAGCTTTAAGCTATTTAGAATAAACAATTGTGGTTTCCTTTTAGAATTTGCAGTCATTCTAAAAAGAAAAATCGGTAATTGAGATTTATTTCACTTTTTGTTTATGGTGGTTAGGAGGTCAGTCAAATTGACCAAATGCATATAAAGGTATGATAGAGAAAATAACAGATAAAAAAAAGTTTGACATTTATTTAGAAGGTTTTAGGGATTACAAAAATGAAATTTGACAATTTTCAGGTGAAGAAAACTATTTTTAATCTTTAATACTTAGAAATTACAAAATTTATTTTTTGTGTACAAAAAGACTTGTAATGTTTACTGAAAGCTTGCCAGATTTCATAAAGATACACAAAACATAGTTAGTTATAGTATTGAAACTGGTAGTCACTTTGTGATTGCGAACTTGGTCGATTTGGCTGGGCCTGTAGCAAGAGGGTTAACAAAATTTAAGTTTTAAATTGTACATAAACAAAGTTAGTCATGTGATTGCTACTTAAGAATAATATTTGTGTAGTAAAACCTATCTCTTTATATTGGTAGTAAATTGATATTAAAAACATTTTATGTTGAAATATTTTTATTTTTTCATTGAAAACAAATGAACACGTACTTGAATGTAAGCTTCAGAGAGGGTGATCATTTGGGGAAGTATTTCTGTCACATGGAGATCTTGCATTTCATACCACTGGCCTGTTCCCTATATAATAAGTTAATATTAACATTTATTATAGAAAAGACATCTTATTTGTAATTTTTTTTTCTTGCTATTGCGTTAGATATTTATATGGAGAGTTACAATCACACACTCAACACAAATTCATATAGCAGTTAATAAACCACTATCTTACTTTTATTATTATTAATTACAATACTATTTACATAGGAGTATCAAGTATTGTAAGTACATAGCCTCACAAATAAACACTTAATGACTCTTTTAGGAAGTTCAAATTTCAGTCTCCATTAAGACCACATTGTTATGATAGTAAAAAATAAATCCTATCACAACCAGAGGGTGCTTATCAAATTTCAAGAATATTGTACTCAAAATTATTTCAGAATTGATAATTTAGCAATATATATAACATTTATTTAGTGTATTCCACAAAGGAACATTAAAACAATGTCTGACTTGTATTTCTGTGTAGCTCTGAAAAGTTTTGCTTGTAAGCAATGCATTTATTGACTAAAAAATTCTGCTTATTCCCAAGTATACGTTTATATTTGCCAAAGTACTAATATTCCTTTGAAAATATAATGATCCATGTCTTGTTTCCTTTTTTTTTTCTTCTATCAGTGGTTTTATTACAATAGTTCTCAACTGCCACTCTTTTATGATGTCACAACATGTGGTCTGAAGAATTACTAATTAAGCTCAGCTTCAAAAATAGTTAGTGCCAATTGCTAAAAATGACTGGATAGAAGTGTTCTAATCTATCTACATCAGTACCAGTAAATAATGTGGTTTTTTGAAACATTGGCTACTCTGAGCTACTGCAGGGGTAGAGATAATGAAATAAAATTACATTCACTTGAGGGAAAGCTATCAGGATGTAAAGTTGCATTTCCTCATGAATTAAAAAAAACTTAATTCATGCAATATGTTCACTTTCATTGGTCATAACTAAAGGAATACGGATGGACTATGCATTTCTGATCGGGAAAGCCAACTAAAAAGATGAAATTCTTCATGCAAAGTTAAATTCCTCGGGAGTGTGGGAATGTAATATTTTGATCCCTGTAATGTTGACACCACTTAAGAATAAACTACAATATGAAAATTTTTGGCTAGTTTAATTTGTACTTGATAATAATTTTGCATAAAATTATATCTCTTTGAAAGCTATTAGAATATTCTCATTTGAAAAAACATCAGGCAAGTTTAGCAAGTAACAGCAGATATGAAATATTAACTGATTTTGATTAAGAATATTGCCAAAAATCCTGAACCTGATAGAGGTATCAATAATGGGATTTTGAAAGATGAGGTTATCGTTCACAAATAAATTTTAGGTTTTGTAAAATTTGTAGCCTGAAATGGCATAACTACTTCAATCAAATAAATATATTAATTAATATCAAACAATTTGAAATTCACTAAACATAAAAAATGGAACTTTTTGATCAATAATTTAAGACAAAATTAAGCATTTTTAATACAATTTTCTTCAAAACAATGTCTCATGAGATAAGTTTGGAAATTTCACTACCTAAAAAATGATAGAAGTATTAAAATAAATTTATGATTTTTTCAAAGCAGAAATTTGATACTATTTAAAAAGTTTATACTACGTTTCATGCAATTTAGTTCAGTATTTACACTGTGAGAAGGAAAAAATCATGGGATATCTCTTATCAGTGACACCCATTGCATCTGGAAAGGCTTAAATAAATTACCCGATGTAAAATGTGAGTCCTGTAAGTGCCTGTCCCAGATCCTGGTTCACCATCATGTACAATGTTTGCTACAAGGTCATAGACACATTTAGGATGTTTCTCTCGTGCCTCTGGGGTCAATAATTCTGTCATATCTACATTTCTACAAAATGAAATATACACAATACAGGTCATGCTTATGTTTGTATAACATTAGAAATGCCATTTAAAAGTCTTAATACTGTTTTAGTTCAATTATTTAACATAATACACATGAATAATGTACAACTTTTGGAACATACTTTCATAATGTTTCTACCACATTTAAAAACTAAATAAAACAACCTGCTGAAGATGTACATCAATAAACACTTTAATATTAGTTACAGCTGATATATACTGTAATACAATATTTGCAAGATAAAATTTTTATGGCTGGTTATGTGTCAATTAATCTTATCAGTATTTAAATATATTTCGATTGTGCTGCCATTGTTGCATGCAATAGCAATAAATGTAGCTTTAGCCTCTAACCTAGACTGCTAAAATAAAACAAATTACACTTAAAAAGTTGGAAAAATAACTACAAAAAATGATTTCAAATTCTAAATTAGTGTAGTCTACACTTGGCTGAAGAAATTTCCCTGTTTTTTTTTAAATGTGAATTTTTTTTAGTGAAATTGAATGGTTGTTTATGGTGGTGTTTTTCCCCAGTTCTTGATCATCAAATATTTGAGCCATAGTAGGTTCAGTGAAATTTCAAAATAAAAAAAGATATACTTTACTTATATAATATAGTCCAATAATTTTTGCTCTTACTTCGACTACGACTTGTGAAAACTTTTTATATATTCAGAGGAGGTGGAAGAAAAGATAACCAAAAAAACCTTTTTCTTGGTTTGGTTCCACAGAAATATTGTGTATTGATTGTGTGACCTGGAAATGCTTTATTAATAATAATAGTAATAACATCAACAATAACCAACAAACATACTTACTTGATTGGAAAGTTAACAATGGTAGTATTCTTTTCCACATAAAATGTGTTTTTGGTAAACCTCTGAAATGGATAAGAATGAAGTTTATACTTTTAGAAACAAAACAAAAACAATAAGTAGTATAGAGAAAAAGATAATATACAAGTGCTGGCATACACTGTTTTATACTACGGAATGGTATCACAGAAATATGCCCTTTTTTGTGAATAGTTTTAAACTGTTGTTTTGAAGCCTTGTGGTATGTGAGCATACAAAGTTTCCTACCCCTGTAGATAATATATACATTTTTCTAAAAGGCGTACGTAATGAGTATGGTTTCTCAATATAGAAAGAAAGTCAACTAGCTCTTATGCTACGCGTTTGGTTGATTCGATGGAGTTTGTGGCCTGAAAGTGACAATCAGTTTCCATACTCTAACTTTTAATATTTTTTTTGTATCTTCATGAAATTTAGCAAGCGTTCAGTAAACATTACACGTCTCTTGTATCTAAAAACTGTTTAACTAAGTATTTTGTACTTAAAATTTATCCGTGGATATAAGAAGTCAAAGTGTTGACTGCTCCGGGTGCAAAGTGATTTTCATTTTAAGGTTAAAAATAGTTTTCTTTATCTAATAACTATGAAATTTCATTTGTGCAATCTCTAAAACCTCCTATCTAAAAATCAAACATTTTTGTATTTTCAGTAAAACTTTATATTTTATCTGCAACTTCCTGTACCCTAACTGTGTATCTATTTGGTCAATTTGACCAACCTTGTAACCACTATAAAAAATACAAAATAAATCTAAATTACCCTTTTTTAATTTCTAGAATGATTGCAAAATTGTAACATGAAACTACAATCGTTTATCCTAATACATTAAATGAGTCACATCCTTTAAATAACTCACCTGAAAACACACAATAATAACACATACAAAGCAAACGATGTTCTGTAACTATCATAAGTTTCCTGGCTTTCTAACTAAGTGATAAGAGCATTTACAAATTCAGCTAAGCTTGTTGATATGAATACCTCAAGAGAAATTTTCAAACCGGAGGCAAAATACACAATATTCTGTACAGAAAATAACTTAATACATCATTTGATACATTGAAACTTTAGCTTTCTATTGGCAATTTAAGAAAGAAAGGATGTGACAGGTAGGCATGGCAAGTGGGTCTGATTTTCTAGTTTATGGCTCCATAAATAAATAAGATTGAAGGTTATAAAATTATGCTTTACCTGAGTAATAGCTATATTATAATGAGTAATTTATGTTTAATTCTGTACTTTTTGGAGGGGTGGTAAATATATTAGAGAAGAGGGAAACCTAGAAAGCAAATGTCACAAATTTCATACATTGGGAAATTGAGGTTTTTTAAATATTTCCTTATAAAATTAAGAACTTAAATCTGATTTATTAATTACATTTGGATGCTAAGTTTATTCATATACAAAGTGGTTTAATTAAAATTTGAATGTAACTCTCTAAAATGTCATGACACATGCAATTTGACCTGCCCATAGCAAGACGATTAAGGAGGCCACTATGATCCTCTTGACTGAGTTATTCACAGAAGTAGGTTATTCAATTAGGGTATCACATGGCTTTCTCATGGGAAAAATTGCTGTAGTATAGTGCCTACTGTATTGAAATTGACAATTATTTTTTCCACCAGCAAATCAGGTGATGCCCCACGGATACAACATCCCCTGTTACATAGTGAGAATGGCCTTTAATCATTTGGGTAGAACCTTTGCCTTAAGAAGGATGGCATTGTTTTTTGTACATAATGCCACATATCATTAGTCTGGAGTAAGATTGCAAAGAATAATTTTGGGTATTGAAATATATATATATATATAATGATTTTCTTTAAACAAACACCCAGTAAAAGTATCAAAATGCACTTGTCTTTAAAAGCTTTGATTATTGTTAGTGAGAGTTTGAATAAAGACTGTTTCACTGTGTGATACACTGTGTCCAGTCTCTTTGCTTCAGTCAAAGTTAAGAGAACTCGAATTTTGTTCTGCAAAATATTTTCTGGCAAACCTCTTATTCTGTGGCTTCTATTCAATTACTTAGAGGGAAATCAGTGAATCTGAAAATACCCTTACACTCATCTCAAGTTTCACTTGTCTCAACACTGTACGATCTAACAAAGCATATATAGAGTATACGAAGACCATATGGTGCATTTAATCCCACTCTGCTGTGCAGACTTTACTCTGACTATTAACTTTACCTGACTGCTTATTTTCAAAAGTTCTTTAAATAATTTAATAATGTAGTTTCAACTGTGTGTGTGTAAGCAAAATTACCTTCAGCATGTTCTCTCAATAGAAGTTTGTTGAAGAATACAGCATAAGCAACATTCTTCAGTTATAACCTACAAATATGTTTTATGGCCACAGTAAAATTGTGCTTACATTGAGAAACAATTAATAAATTCAATCTTTTGAGGTAACTCTACCATTAATAGTGTTAACAGTAATGGTGTTGGAATGACATTAAACATTTCCAAGATTCAAATAACAAGGAGAGTTTCAGATTATTATATATTATATAACTTTTTACAAGCAGTTTTCAATTTTTATACAAGAAAAATTATTTTGCTTGGTGAAATTAGAGTCTTTCCAACAATTTTGATAGCAGGAATATTTGTGGTTTAATACTTTTTGGGTTGAACTGACCAAAAATAAAACCATATCCAATTTCTAAATAAAAAGCTATACTTAGAACATTGAATAACTAATTAGGTTAAATATTTTTCTGTAACTGAAGTTATATATTCACCTTGATATATAGAATGAGATATGGTGGAAGTTTGGTGATTTCGAAGCGCTTCATCGTTGAGTCCTTATATGTCTTATACTCTTTTTCAGTGGTACCATTAAATTTAGCAAGAATGTTAAAAAGGGGAACTTGAGGGATGATGTTTTCTCGCAATTCATCCTTAAATAGTGGTGGAGGTGGCAGGTCTAAGGTCAGATAAAGAAACTTGGATTCTTCCACAGTTTCTGTGTGGTAAAGAACCAAAAGTATAACACACTTGCATACATAAAATACAAAAATTAGTAGATATCTTTAAATAAACATATATTGCAACACATAAAACATTTAAAGTGTAAAACCAGAAGAAATACGCTTCAGCTTTCATCATTTCTTCACAATGGGTAGCATACAACATAATGATTTTGGAAGCTTTCAAATATAAAGTAACTTTTCAAAAGCAAATAACTCCAAGTTTATGTGGGATTATTTTAACAAAGCATACAAAAATAATTTAATTTTCAGTAATTCATGCATCTTTCATTTTAGAAAAATCACATCATAAGGTACACTTAAAATATTTGTTAAAACAGTCTAATGATGAACATACCTTTATATTCTTCCATATAAAGTAACTCTTCCTTCTCTTCATCACCCTTAAAAACATAACAAACATGTCACTGACCTGACTACACAAACAAAACAAAAATATGCTTCAACTTTCATCATTCCTTCACAAAACTATGACAAATATACAATAAAGGTTTAACAGCTTTTTTATCTCTCCAAATAATGCTTTGCAAAAACTAAAAATATTACTTTCACCCTTGTCCAATACAAAATGTTTTAAGGCAGAACATTCGGTTCCTGAATCAGAAGGATGTTATAAAGTGTAACATGTTCACAGAACTAGGTTGGATAAGAATGCTGAAAAATTACTCATTTTAAAAGTGTGCTCTATTTGATTTAAAACAAGTTGATTACATGACTTGAAATTATTAAATTTGGACTAACATGGCAATTAAAATATTAATCTGTCTAGACAATTTTTAGATCTGCTTTTAATATTAAGTGTATAAATGAAAATTTATGTTTTCTTTTCTGTACTTTTTTTCCACAGGTTTTTATATATCTGAATGTTACTTGATCACTTGCAATTCAGATTATATGTTAATGTATAAAACTCATGTAAACAATTGTTTCATAATTATTAAGTAGCAATAATTAGAAATTATTTCTCAAAACCATTGAAATAATAATAAGATAAAATATGTTACTTATGTTTCAGTAATTACCTCCCGAGTCATAAATATTAAACAAGAACAGTAATTCCATGTACACAAAAAAAATATGTGCTTTCTATATTTCAAAATTTATAAATAGTCCTTCTATATAATACATTTACAAATGTAATAATCACAGTAGTGTGTGGTGGTTAAAGAAAACTTACAATATCAATGGGTAAAACTTTCCTGGAGTAAACTCGCATGGAACCTCTGAAGGTAGAGTACACAATGCTACTGTTGTCTTTTTTTGTACCATTGAGTGCTAAATGAAGGCTGTTCAGAAACCAAGAAAGGAAAGCAATAGGATCACCTAAAAACAGATGAAGATATTGTAATAAAGTCTGAAGACAGCTTGATTGGGTAATGAAGAAAACATTATTACAAGTTCAAGACAGTTACAAATGAACAGGATTTTGACAAGGTCTTATCATCATGAAGTACAAGTAGCTTACATAGACACAGGAATATATATACAGTATGGAACAACGAGATTATATGATTGGAGATTGCTTAACAGCTTAGCAAATGTAATGTGGTACCCTGTGGTGTTAGTTTAGTTTAGGGCTGTTTTGTTCAATCAGTATTGTTTCCTTGATTTTTCATGTGTTGATACTTAGTTATTTGTTTAAAATTACAGTGTTTTAAATAAATATATAATACAATTTTTTAAAGTTGCAATTGTGGTAAACATGGGAGGGTTTTGTTATTTCCAAGGAATTTGGTTTCCAATTTTTTTCTAGTTTTTTCAGGAGTAGAATAGTGGTCAGTTATTACATATTCTCTTATAAATGACATTAGTATTGGGTGATTCTACATAATATTTACTTAGTATGGATTTTAGTTTAGGGTAGAGTTTGTAAGTGAATTTGAAGTTGATTGGAATTTTATGTTTAATGGTAAAAAAGTGAATTATTCTTGAACTGACTTCAGGGATAAATGGTAAACTAATGTAATGTTTCAGAGGGTTCTCAGAAAAAATTCTGTAATGACGGAAGCAAAAATATTTGCATGTATTCATCACACTGAGTAGATTATAACTTCAAGACTCCTCATGAGAAATGGAAAGGCGAGGGAAGTATTTTTTGCTGTTTTTAAAATTATATAGACTGCTAGTGTTGTTTTTAAAGTTAAGATTAAGAACAAGTTTAGGCTTAATCAAAGTGATACGAGTTACAAGTGAAATATTGGAAGAGTGTCACTGCTTTCATAATGTAATGATAAATAATGTGTAATAAAAGTTTAATAAGAAAAACAAATTTTATATTTCCAAGATCACTGTTTTTATAATTTATATTTATAATTTATTTATGCAGTAGTTTCATTTTGTGTATGTGTAACTTTGCACTTTATGACTATTAGATGAAAACAAAACATATAATTATACTTTACTATTTATTTTGAACAATGTACACATAATAAAAGTATTTTTTTTATCAATCTTCAAATAATGTATTTATAAATATTTAAGCTTTTCCATTTTATCTATCAGTCACATAGAATGCTTGCTTGTAATGATAGATAATAATGTGATAACAGTATGTAACAAAAGTGTCATAAGAAAAACAAATTTTATATTTCCAAGATCACTGTTCATTATAATTTATACTCAGGTAAGAGAGAAAATATCTGGGAGAAAACAGGAGGGGGGTCATAAGATTTGGCATTTTCATGAAAGGGGTTTGTGGGATGTTAAAGTTTCGGAACCACTGTTTTAGAGCAAAGTCACATTGGACTATTGGCTGTGTTCACCATGGGGAATCAAGCCCCAGATTTTAGCATTGTAAGTCTTTAAATTTATCACTGTCCCACTGGGGGACACGAAAATATAAAATTACTCAGTATGAAGCAGTAACATTATCCAATGGTAGTGCACAGCATAATAATTAACTGATAATAATGAATCAGTAACTTAAGGAATAAACAAGCAAGCACTCTACGTGGCTGATAGATAAAATGGAAAAGCTTAAATATTTATAAATACATTATTTGAAGATTGATAAATAAAATATTTTTATTATGTGTTCATTGTTCAAAATAAATAGTAAAGTATAATTATATGTTCATTTTATTTCATACACAAAATGAAACTACAGCAACAAATGTATGTTCTTGCCCAGTTTTGTCAAAAATTTAACTGTTAATAGCCTGCTATGAGGAATATACTTGTATTCAAAGTGATTTCAATATTCAACTTGTTATTTTTATACTGAGTTTTACCTTGTTCAGTAATTTGAAAACATTTTTTACTGCACAGAACAACAGCCTGCAACATCTCATGAGGACTGACATGAGCTTTAAAGTTTCGTGGATTCCAAAGCTTACGCAAGAGCTCTCCAAAACGCTGAACTATGAGGAACATGTTGTCTCCTGGGGGTCGCTTTATGGTCATATAGTTTTCTTCCCTCAAAAAAAAGTTTCGAAGTGGTGGAACATGAGAAAGAGCCTGAAAATTGTTGAAGACCACAAAAATAGAAAAAAAAAAAAGCCATAAGATGCTATTATGTATTTTGTAAATTTTTCAATAACTTCTACCAAATTAATAACAAAACATTTTGGAGTAAAGTTTGTACATAATTTTCACTTAATTGGCTAAATAAACACAGAAGTTTCCCCAACAATTTCATCTTTTTGATAATGTTTTCTAGTGATGGTATTTTAACACCTAAGTACTTGCATGTATAGGGTAGTTATAAAATCTGTTTGGGTATTTGGAATAAATCATAAAGCAAACCATGTAACACATGGGTAAAATACTTTGCATACGTGCATAAGAAAAAAAAAATGTTTTTCTTTCAAAAATAACATAATTAAAAGAAGAAGAAAAAACACATTGAGAAATTAAGCCTATATGCATCTCATATGTTGTGTTCACCAAGACATACGTTTTTATAATCAATTTGTGGTTATTATGTATCATTTACGGAAAACAGTAGCAATGTATCTACATGTATATAGCAAACTGAAAAATATCAAATTAATTCTTGAAAAACTATCTGGTTTGCAAAAAAGAAGATGCACCTTTAACACATGACATTCTTTTTTTTGTGTGAAAACAAGAATTGGACATTTTTTGTCACCAAGAAATTTTTCTCTCTCAAGAACACATGAGAATTCAGATCTTCTGTAGTATATATTTTTTACAAAGTTTCACAAACTTGTTGATTCTAGGAGAAAAGTATACATGGTTTTAACATGTTCTCATACATGTAGGTTGGTTTTGGTTTTTAAATAGGGTAATTGATTGTTGTAGGGAATTGTACACAGTCATACT